TATAAAACCAGCCCCATTAGAAACAGAGCTTTGGTACTTTAAGCAAGACTTAAGATGCCGTCGAAGATGGGAAGTTCCATATCCTTTTTTGTGACTAAGTACCTTTTTACAATATTTATATTTGGCTTTTGGTTCATTTTCTAACGCTTCAAAACTTTTCCATACAGGAGATTTATTCTCTGAAGTTGTTTCGCTAGTGCTAGTAGTTTTATTGGTTTCATTAATAGTAGTAGTGCCAGTAGTTTCATTGGTGGTGGTAGTGCTAGTAGTTTTATTGGTAGTGGTAGAAGTGCTTGATAACCCTGAAACTGATACGGAGTCATACAGATCTGACATTTCAATATCATGGTCGATTTCATCCATAATGGTTTATTGGTTTGATTTTATATGTATAGATAAGTTTGCTATTATAATCGAAAGGTAAAAAAGTAAAAAGTCAATACGATAATGAAAAGATATTTATAGTAGAAAAAAAAAACTTACAATAAAGTCAAAAAAAAAACAAGACACGTATTAACAGTCAATTTATTTAATAATAAAAAAAATTTATTATTTGATATGTAACGATATATAAGCGCGAAAAAAAATTCAGATATTCAATATATAGTTATGTAAGATAATTAGTTGTGCAACGTATTAATGGGCTACCCTAGTGTTTTAAGCTGGCTAAAGCAGCCGCGGCTAAGCCGGCTTAGCCGGCTAAGCCAGCCGATATAATGTGGTCAGCTGGCTAATGCGGCTAAGGTCACCTGACCGTAAGCGAATCAATTTGTTAAATTACAGAATTACTATAAATGATGATAATACTTTATTTTAAATGATTAAAGCTGTTAATCTCTACTACGTTCTAAAAAAAAAAAAATCCACGAAGCGGTTATACTTGAAAGCTAAGTTTTTATATTAAGCTAAGTTTTTATCAAATAAATCTTTTATTCTATAATATAACAATCAAATAAATTCTTACAATGAAAAAGCTAATATTGTTTGTTAACCTATTTACCATAATAAATACCCTCCTCTCCTCCTTAGTCGGATATTTATTATTTAAGAATTCTTGTAAGGTAATCATAATATTTATATTTTTATGTTTAGAAAAGTTTTTTTATAATTTTTTTAATAAAGCTGTTTCAAATATTTGGAATAAATTCCAACCCATATTGGGTCTTCGTGAAATCGCATTAAAAAAGTTTATAAATTAATAAAACTTGAAGAATGATTCTAATTATATTTCCACTTGTGCGGTATGTTTATTTTATAACTATGTATAAAAATATGTGTAAGGTTCTTTTCTTATAAATTTATGTAATAATGTTTTTTTTTTTTTTACTTTTATATTCTAGCCTGATTTATCGCATATCGCTACTCAAGATAATTCAAATACATGATACTTACCATTAAACAATATCTTCTATTTTTTTAAAGGTAACAATTGCTAAAATTAAATTCAGCTTTTTTTTTGATTTAAATATCAATTAAATGTTTTATTACCTACCCATTAGTAAAGTATGTATGAATTCTAAATTTAAATTAAACCAGGATACACGGTAAAGATTTTTGAGTTTTCTTTGAGAAATAGTAAATCATGAACCATGTCAGGGTCTAATTGATTTCTTTTATCAGTTACTGTATTGCCGGCAGTTGAAAAAACCCTTTCTGAAGGAACTGACGTGGCTGGAAAAGCCAAATATTTTCTTGCTTGTTGTGAAAGAAGGGAAAACATTGCTTTACGTTCATTCCACCAGACTAATAGATTAACTTTACGATATTCTTCATCTGTTATATGATATTTAGGAATTTTAGGTAAATTATCATAAAGTGTTACTTCTTTCTCAACTGATGATATATTTTTAGTTTCATTTGGAGCAACATAATCGTCATCATAAAAAGAAGCAAAAAAAGAAGAGAGACCAGTATTTGAAGTTTGGGGTTCTTGAATAGAACTTGGTCGTTCTTGTGTATCAAATAAAGTATAAAGGTGAGCAATAGTTTCTCTCTTTTTAATAGGTGTTATGTAATTCATTTTTTTGAACCTCGGATCTAAAAAGGCAGCTATTAGACTATGATATGATGGTTCAAACCACCTTGATAGCATCGATTGATTGATTTTACTACAGCAAGCCTTTACTACTTGTGAAGTAGCTTTTGGGTAAAAATCTCTTAAATGACAAGAGAGCTTAATGAGAGTAGGAATCATCATTCCTAATGTGGAATATTGGCTTCCTCCAATATATCCTGTCGCTTGCACAAAAGGACATAAGAGTTTTGCTAATTCATCTATTGAATTCCATTCTTCTATTGATAAAAGAAGCTCAGAAAGTTTTGTTCCATTCTGCCGTTCTTGACGATTAACATTTTGTTTTAAGTCATTAGCTAATCTTACAATAGCATTACGAAGAAGGAAAAGATTCTTTAAAAGATTGTAGGTTGAACTCCACCGAGTTCTAGTATCACTTGAAAGAGGATTAACTTGATGCTGTGGATTTAATTCAGCTTGCAATTGACAGAGTTTTTCACAGTATTTATCTTTACCATTGATATAACTATTTAATGTTTTCGCTTTATTAATTAAATTACTGACTTCTTCAACATCAAATCTGTCTCCTAATGCGAGTTGTATCATATGCACAGTGCAACCTAGGTGAGAATTAAAATAATTACAATTTTGTTTTATTTATGTAGTTTTATTTAAGTATTAATATTTGACTATTTAATATTATAATATTAAGAGTTGATAATGGAAATAATAGCTCAATTTGGTGTTTTTGCTACTGTGTGCCAGAACCCTCTTACATAGAAATTAACTAGCCATAACTTTTAAAATATTTATATTAAAATTTTTAAAATTTTTATTTTTAGGTATTTCCGATTTTAGCTGTGACAATTAAATTTGTAATTTGGCCTTACCTATATGTTCAATACCAAGTTGATCCATGGCTTTAATCATCGAAGAAGCATTATCCGTTGAAGCACCTAAAAGTTTTTTATATATTTCCCATTGGTCAAAAAGCTGGCGACAAAAATCTTCAATTCGATCACCAGTATGAGGGTAATCGAACTTTTGAATTGTAAGAAGTGCTTGGTGTAAAGTAAAGTCGGGGCTGATCCAATGAATAGTTACGGCTATATAAGGTTGGTGTATTTGAGACCACAGGTCTGTTGTAAAACAAAAAGAATCCATTGTTGTTTGCAATAATTCTTTAAGCTGTCATTCAGTGAAAAGTACTGATTGCATTAATTTTTCTTTTATTCTATCATGGCAAGGAAACTCAAATCTCGGTTTACATTCAAGAATCATATCATGAAAACAATTATTAGTAATAGCGTTAAATAGTTGAAGATCATCTATGATCCAGGCTAAAATACGATTTGTGATTTTATCTTGTTTTGAAATAGGTAATGGTGTTTTTTTATTTATAAAATCATGTAATGATTGTTGATTAGAAACTGTCTTAGCTAATTGATTATTATTATTATTT